AATGGAGATACGATGTGAATATCCCCACCTTATCTATTCTTGCTCAGCTTGCCATCGTTTCACCAGAAGATGACCGATATTTTGTACCCAGTCAACTGTGGTAAGATTAGGCATACCGCCCCTACTCTCCAGCATTAAATTACTCGTTGGTTCTATTCACAACCGAGTCATGAGCAACAGTACCTCGATATTGGACCAACTAGTCAAACAGTTCTACGATGGAAGTTGCTGTGAGCTGTGACTGTTCTACATTCCTGGTTAGGAGCATCCAGTACTAAAGCTATCGACGCCGATTTAGTTACCGCCAGCGAGAAGAGACGGAAAGATATGAAGTAGCCCATGGTTCGTTGGAGCTGTGGCAGGTACACATCTGGAGATGATTGCCTACTGCCCATATGTATCAGTGGTGTAATGGTTAACTTGACCTCTACCCATAGTTGGGGTTCGACTCCCCGCTGATGTTTATACTTTGCGGCTTGGCGTTTTTTTATAATCTCAGATACTTATTCCGGTTTACTTCATGTCTTATGTAAACGGATAGGCGATTTCGTTTGATTACGACGACCCTTACGAGCTCGCGATGATTCCCGCGTGCAAGTGCTCGGGTATTTCACCTCTCAAATCGCTAACTAGTCGTTTCAGAGATTCAATTTCCAGTATTATCTGCGCTCAGAAGAGAACTTGAGAGTGATTTGGCTGTATGGGCGAGTGATCGGTTGTTCTTCAGTACGCGCTTCTGAGCCGGTGATTTTTCTTTTTCGACGAAAGAAATTTCATTTTGTTTGTACCGAGATGGGCAGGATTTCTCTCTAGAAGTACGACGGCCAATAGTTCCGTTCTCACCGGGCCGTGTAGATCGAGGTGCCAGCCTTTTCATGATCAGTTTCCGACTGTGTATCTGAATAACAGTCCAATAATAAGTTCCGGGAATGGGGGCACTAAGCGAGCACTCCCACCTTGTCAATTACAGCTTGACTTTCCATCATTCGGCCAGGGGAATGGCCGACATTTCGTATCCAGTCGATTGTGGTAAGATTAGGTATACCGCCCATGCTCTCCAGCATCGAGATGAAATTCGTCCTCTTTCTATGCGCGCGCCTCCCTGAGTCTGCGAGATTCAGTCCGCTTGGAGAGTGAAAGGGATTGATTTGGTTAGCTTTGCTTGGCATCGAGGGTCGCCGTCGGTGTTATCTTCCTGGAAGAAATTGTTGATGCTCTACGTGGAGACGAAGGGTAATTGCACTGACGAGGCCCCTAATTATGTGCTCGTTGTATCTCTCGATGATACTTTCCCTTCCAAGAACACGCAGTTGCATATGCGAGGAATCCAGGTTCTAATCCGTACTTGAATTTGTTCAAAGCTTTCACATTCGTCGTTGGGCCACGGACGATCAGCTGGGAGATCCTGGATTTTCTGCCATTCAAGTTTAGGATATTCATCATGTCGTTCGGAAAGCTTGACTTACCGAACCAGCAATGCACTGGCTGGTCATCCTTCTCGGTTGATATCCTAAGGGCGGCATATCGCTGAGCCATTTTGGCCACCGGCTAAGTGACCTTTTGGAATCCCAAGTTGCGTCAATCATGTCTGGGAACGACTGCCAGCCGATATTTGCTGACGCCGAAGCTGCGTTGTACTGCTGAGCAGCGGCTATACAGATGAAAAGTAGAAGGACTCGGAGGGAGGGGAGGAACATGGTCGTACAGACGAGGGAGCGGGTTCACGAGAGCAAGAGAATCACTTAGCCCTTCCCGCGGTGATAAGAAATATGAAATGTGCAGATTTCCCGAACACGTAGATCGTCGCAATTTCCAAAGATTAATGATGGTTGAATGCTGGAATTGTAAACCGTGTTAAACTGAGAACAATGGACAGATATTACTAAAACGTTGTACCTGTAAAGAACGTAACCTACTGCAAAGTCCCGGTGGGTTTGGAGTCGCCAGCATTAAAGACGTCGCTGCAGAGGCTGATCCATTTTTAAAAGCCTGAAATGGGAACCTAAAAAGGCTTCTTTTTATTTTTATTTTTCAGCTATACGCCCTTGTTTTGCGCACTGTACAATGGGAAGTTGATGGGAAGGTACCCTTAAGTCCAGTGGGAAAAGTTTTCATGCCGCTTTACTGGCGACATTTTCAGGACCGATAAAGGCTTCCATAAATCAGAACGCGCTGCCTGTGTTAAGGTTTCGGCCCATTCAGAGACTAAGTCAATGGCGGAGAAGATAAAAGATTGGTTCGCGTTGGATTGAGTGCGGCGGGAATGCGTAATCAGAAGTCGGCCCGAGTTCCGGATTCATATTTAGCTCCACGTGAATAATATTTTCCCACGAGTCCTTTGTTTGTGACCATGACCGTGGTTTCGTTTGACTCTTTTTTCTCCATTTTTCCCATTGTCGGACGCTGTTATATGCGCTTCTGCAGGACCATTCTCTGATATTCTTTGCGGAAGGATGTCTTTTGGAAGAGAAACGATGTCAAGAAATGAGCTGAAAACGGAGCTATGAAGCGTGAAAGGTAGACTCTCGTTTTCCAGCCGCTTTTGAGGGTTCAAAATTCATTGAAAAATTTCAGCGAGTTTCTTTTGCTGCCATGCTCGGCGCCTGTTTGTCGTTGATGGTATCGACACCATTTTCTCGAGGTAGAGGCGCCAGCGTATCCTTCCTTTCGTCTCTCATCACGGCTATTAGCGGTCTGGATCTGGTGTCGCTGCCTCATATACGTTATTGAAGGAAAGAAATGGATGGAGACTCAATTCTACAGTGACAAGTCGCGACTCGCCTGGAATAGCTGTGGGTCATAAATGCGGTTAGAAAGGTACGCGACATGTCTTGCCGTTGTGTTCCGTTTCCTGATCTATCTGACAGTGTGGCATCTGTTCGTTGAACTCATCGATGACTGGCCCGTATCACAGCGTATGAGCCTCTCCGTGACGGGACGTTGGCGCAGCATATACCCTGTCAACGATGTATTGATGCCGGCTTGATAAGCATTGCTGAACTTTCCGATAATTCATGGAATCGGGATACAAGAGGCCCAATGTCGACATCGATTGATACCTTGTCCGATACCGGATCCGATGATCTGGGGCTCTGATGTATCGGTTCTGCTGGGGTGTTCTGGTGCATGATATTTCGCTCACTCATACTGTTCTATCCTTACAATTCTATTTCTAGGAGACACTAGGGAGTGTTCAGTTGCACGGATATCTCTTCTGACTCACCAGCGACGGCATGTGTTCATGTTGATGCGATTCGGATTACCGGAGCGAGCATGCGGCAATGAGTCTATCAACACATGCCCACCCTGCACCGTCACCAGGCCATCGTTACTTTCTTCCTTCATTACTTCCACGATGGCGTCCCGAGAACTCGCAGCGACATATCATCCTACCTTCAACACCCCAGACGCGGATGCAGTCTTATCCTCGCTCGACGGTACCCTATACCGTCTCCCATCGCCAGTCTTGCGAAGGTCCACCACGTTCTTCGCGTCCAACTCCTTCACGTTCGAACCAAATAGCAAGCCTATCCCCATCCACGAACACGATGTCGTCCTCGAACGGCTGCTGCGAATCATCAGCGGTCTTGCGATCCCTCCTTGGTGCACATTTGATGACCTCGAGGGTGTGCTCAGTCTAGCTGAGACTTGGGGAGCAAGAGGTGCTCTGGACATCGTACGCGCATCCATAACTTCGCCCATGTTCCTACGAGAACCGCTCCGGGTGTATGCGATAGCGACGAGGTTCGGGTGGGAAGAGGAAGCCGAGCTTGCATCGAAGCATACGCTGAGTTTATCCCTCCACGAGGAGCAGCACCAAGAGGCTCTACGGCGAATCTCGACGCGCTCGCTGGTGAAGCTGTTCAAGTTTCACCGGAAGCGACGAGATGAATTTCGGGTGGGTATGGATGGCGACGCGAGGTGTAGAGGGTGTGATAACTCCGTCGATGGGTCCGCGTGGACGGCGCTGGTATGGAAGATGTTCTGGGAAATGGACGCGAGGCCGTCGGGAGACAAACTGTGTTCATTGGAGATCGAGGAATGGCCGGAGATGGAGACTTGTCTATTGGAGAAATGTCCGGGATGTGGTCGGTTGGTGTATGATAGGTTGGAGATGCTGGAAAGGGTGAGGAAGTGCCTCGCTGAGCTGCCGGATACGGTGTAACGGCAAGGTGTGGGCAAGTCGTTATCCTTTTGTTTTTTGCTAACGGTATACTTTCATAGCATAATCCCCAGGGGTGCTGAAGACACGTCCAATCTTTCCCATTGATGCAGGTGCGTACTGTCTCGTCGCTTCTGCCAATCCTGACAAAATACATAGTTTCTCTTCGACATATGGTTGCATATCTTTGTGAAAAGTGATCATCGTTGTGTCATGTTACCTCTGTACGCATCACTGATGAACGACATTTAGTATCCGTGACCTACTACATATGAACCCCATATTGTATCAGTATCCCGTACGGCATGTAGGACCAGACTTTCCATGCGAATACCACTCCCAAAGCTGATTTGTGACTCAATAATTTCCAAGAGATGCCCAGCGAGCTGTGGGATTGTCCACCTGGACATAGCCGAAGATTATCCACCGAAGTGGTTCAGTCGACACACCGTTTGACTCGGTTGGTCTGCTTGGCAATATCACTGTCCTCGCTATCCCACGTAGCTGCTATCTGACCGTTTGTATTAGTCCGGTCGGACGCAAGGCTAAACGTGATTAGCCCGCCAAGTAACGGCTTTATAAAAGCGGGTGTAATTCGTAGTCATCACAGAAACTGGGGTGGAACTATTCACGGAAACGTACGCGTCCGTAGTCAATGTACAACTCCGGGGTAAACGCATGAATGTGTATTTCCCTTTAAATACTTGGACAACGCACTTCCGGTGGTACAATCTCAAGTTGTTGACACTTTCCCTTCGTATGTTGGACCCCATTACGGCTGCTTGGGGTAGCCGTTCTTTCCTCCATTTTACACTGACATTGACCAGGAAGAATCGAAGCATTAGTTGTGTAATGGTTAACATGTGGTTTTCCCATTATTTCTCAAGCGAAAGACATCTGGCCACGTTCGGGGTCCGATTCCTCGCTAATGCACTCAAATTGGAGGACCACCAATTTTGAATTCTCTTAGGTGTAAGGTCGCGAAATGTTCCAAGCGCTCGCCGCTTAGCGTTGAACCGCGTCCAATAATACATTTTTGTTCTGCGTGTTCTGGTACCTGGCGTGACTTTATATCCTTATCAGTCAGGCTACGTGCCCATTCGCTTCATGGCTACCATGAGATTCGATAAGTTCTGGGCTGTCTCGCTACGTAATGGAGGTAGCTAGCCGCTAGAGTGTTTGATTCTTGGTGCTGGGTAGCACCGACGACTCGGATTCTTCATTTCACCCATATATTTTGATAGATTCCTACGATCAGGGACCCAGACTGGTTCGTCGGGGTTTGTTGTCTCTTCTTGTACGTTGATGATTCTACACTTTGATGTCTTATTACATGTATGTGTAGAGAGACGCGGCCCAGGGGGTACGACACTATTTTTCGATGACAGTCTTTGATTACATGAATAAAGCTTACACAGGTCTGGCCCGGTTCCCTTGGGAATATGCACGGCGATGTACATCTGGTATTTTCTCGAAGTCTATGACAGAGATCATATTCACCTTCTATCGATCACAATCAGAGCTTCCCTAATCATTAGTACCCCAGTAATAAATGCGGTACAGGAAGTTATATTGGATTATGTGGCTGTACGAGTCGTCGGGATCGGTTACCCGCATCGGCCGTACCCGGCCGTACCTTTCATTACCATTTTCAATTCCTTTTCCTTCTTTACCGTTTACCTTCACGTCGACGTACATAAGCTAAACGAGTTGCGTCCTGTGTCCTCCCGTGCTCGAACTCTAACAGGTTATGGTCTGGAGTAGCGTAGACGGTTCAGGCCTTACTGCGGTCAATCAAGCACCCCGGACTTCTAACTACATGTAGTAAAGACCACGCGCAAACACTGACTCCTGAGTTAGTAGAGACCTGTGGTCCGGACTTGTGCTGGGCATCATCAAGGTTTCCAAACTCCTCGGACATCCGGTAACAGTTGGATATACTTAACCCTCCCACATACACTTTCGCGGGAGAAGCTGCGCTTTTCTTATAGAAAGGTGATCAGCGGAGAAGTGGGAGATTAAAAACATAACACGTTACCCGTTTGGGGTATGAACGCCCGCGATGTAAGTCCATCGGGCCATATGGGTCTCTAGGTTAATATTCACACGGACAGCCCGGTGCACATGTGGCCATTGAATTAGGATTGGAAGAGCGTATTATACGCGGGAAAAAATTCATCAGTCATCATATACACATGTCAACGCCACTGAATCTACGGGCCTTTCGTGAAAATCCGCCAACTTGATGACACGGACGAGAATAAACGGACTTGCCGTACGAGTTTTGTACAAAGACGGAACTGGGACGATCACATGATGGTTTAGCGCAAGTATGTAAAAGTTTTTCCGGTTCCCGGTAGGGTAGCCTTCCTAGCCAACGCACCCGTGATAACCCAGCATAAATTACAAATTCTTACTCTCGATGACCGGAATCTGTGCGGAACATTGGTGAATTCCCTGAGGGGACGCACCTTTCCATCGGGTACTCAATTGAAAGCTCTATTTCTGAATGAAAGCATCTGACAGTGAGCCCCATTATCAAGTCAGCGGCGTGTGTAGTGCGATGATGATCGGCACGTTCTATGGATGGTAGACAGATCTCTCAAGTCTCTGACTAATTTGCGAGCTGGGATAAATGCTCTAATTCATAGCTTCGGCTCGCTCTCCAATATAACTGGGATCCCATACAGTTCTCGAAGCGTATTGAAGCCCCCTTTTCCTATTATACTGACGGTCGACTTCCACGGGATTGCTTATTAACGTGCTCTTCTGTGAGTGGGTCATTGGACCTCGGGTAGGCCATGGGCGTCGGAATCACGAGCCCGCACCAAGAAGCATATCCCTACAACGTTCAGGAGCGAAAAGTTAGGTTCTGGGTCACGTTGCTGTTGGCATATCTTGAGACGGAACAACAACCGTAGTCAGTATTTGTAAACGAAATGACAGGGTGACGTGAATAAGTAGTGCGTATAATCGTGGTATGCGCCGCATTTTGTTAAAGACGATCATTCTTCCGGGACGGTAAAGGCGCGGGATCCTCTGCATAGAACATGAAAGCCGAGTCGATTCACGGACGAGAAAAGTTCCAGGAAGAGTACGTCAAGGTGTTGGACCAGGCTGGGGTGGAGAAGGTGTTGGCAAGTTGTTGCCGAGGGTTATTCGAGTCAAGACTACTTGTCTGAAGTTTCTAGGTAAACATAGACCAATCCGGACACTTCAATTGGTTATGGCCTCTGGTACCTCGGCGGTTTTACAGAACTCGGTCAGGTCGGGTATTTGAGCTTCTCATAGCACTCACAGTTGTCGTTATTAGGTTCTTTGTTACTTACGTTGTGGTTAGGGCCGCGGAGATTTCGTTGTATATACGGCGGGGTATTGTGTAGTTAGTCCCCATGTGGCATTTGCCACTGATCTTCGCCACCAGCTTCGTTTGAGGAACGGCCCCGCCATTAGAGCTTCGCACCGTCACCGTATAGTGCCATCGTACGGGTCCGTACCCGTGTCATCAGGGGGTCCAGTCGGTTTTGGACCATAGGAATAGCTGAAAAAAGACAATAGTGAGTTCTTTTGCGCCGTGTAGATACAGAACGACGAATACCGATCATTTCCGCTACAATCTACCCTGCCCTTGCTTTCTATAGGTCACCATCAAGCCACATACGGCAGTTGCAAACTCGTACCCGGGGAATGCACTAGCATGAGTCTATGACGAGCGTCGTCAAATGTAATCTAGGCACAATAGAAACGATGAAGACTATTCAAGTTCCTTCGTATGTGACTGCATCAGCACGGATCGATGGTCGACAGAGTTAGGGAGCTTACACGCTGAAAGATGGTCGAGTTAACCATGGATATATATAATGAAGGAAGAAAAGACAACTCGGAATGCCTCGAATCAAAACTACAGCTTTGGAATAGAGATAAAATGAGCGACTACCTGGGAGAGGTTCCACATTGCTGACATCCTGGTAGCTGAAACTAGATAGTGCGAGCGCCTGCATGGATACTGCGATCTGTTTTCCCCAAGGAGGGAATGGTCTTCAAGGATGTTTACAAGAGCACGCACGAGGTCGTGGTACATCAGCAGAGAAATCCCATTCGTCCCAAGGTTTCACCTGATTGGCCTTGTTATTGCCGGTAAATTGTTCAAGAAAGAGTTATTCCGATTGGTGGAGCTTTCAACCGCAAACCTAGAATTCACCATCACAGCGTTCATCTGATTAACCTCGTGCTCGCATGCATCCCTGGACGAATGGACGTCATACTGTCCAGAAACAAAAAGATGGCATCAAATTAAGATGAGCTTTAAGTGCAGATCTGTAACGCGCCGTGAAACGTGTTTCAGAGCAACGAAGAAGGACAGGTACGAAGATAACAGAAGTATCGGCGCGGGTTCATTTGCAGAACAAAATTAAAAACAAACGCCCGTCCGACGCAGAGTGGGATTTGCAGGATTAAGGGGTACGACTTATAGAGACAAGAATACGGCTTGTGAACGATATGATCCCCCTTCTTGGCATGATTGTATCTGAGAAGTTCTTTGACAGGCGAGACAGATCGATACCATCCTTTGATAAAATTCCCAGCCGCCCCGAGACGAAATTCCCAGTCACGTAAGGGCGCCGTTCCAATGAATGAAAAGCTTTAACCCAAATCAAGGGGCTATTCATCCAATAGCATTACGCATCATTTCATTTGTTCCAGCATTGCGCAGGCGACGTTACGTTGTAGTCCAAAAGCGAGTAGTAGTGTGGCAGTGCATTTTGCACTGCACGTGAGGTGAATTCGCGGTAGCAAAACTGTAACGGAAGCGATCATTGGCCAATCACTGTTATTTCACATTGAACACAGACGCTCACATCCTACTGGCGCTACTCTCATGACGCTAATTTTCTCTGTAGATCTTCAGCTGACCGCCTAAGGCTAACGCCACTAGCTGATAGGACTAAGGCCTTTCATATTCCCTTAGTAGGCCGCGGCGTACTGGGTAACGACATGTAATTCTCTGTTCGCCGCTCACCAGAGCCTTGGGACGTATCCTTGTGCAGGCTATTGAAAGCCCCGACCTCTACGATACCCCGCAGCCGAGGGTATTACATTCGGGACTGCTACCGCCAATACTATTCAAATCCAGATTTCGTACATAATCCGAAGACGGCTCAATGCAGGGACAGCGGAGCTGTGAAGCGATCCAAGTTGTACAAAGTGTTCACCGGCCTGATGTGATGAGAAGGGAATCATCCTAGAAAGGTCTAGTAACCAATTCGAATGTCCTTCTCAGATAATCTAACTTCTTAAACCGATTTGGGAAATCAGCGTGAAGATCTCGACACGATTCTTCCCGATATGTATAGTCTGTCAGCTGGGTATCTCCTGAATAAAAGAAAGGTATAACTGGAATTGATAAAAAGGCAGACGACCTTCCTTCAGTTCATCTCCCCAACTGAAACCTACACCGATATCGCTCTTTCGCGCTGTACCAATAGTTGAACTATGTGTACTTCATCATCCTCTGTCTTAATCTCGGGACACAATACTTCGCATGCGAGACCAGTCCTGACTACACATGTGCCAACCCGTGGAATCAGCGAGCCTCAATGTTGTCATTGCGGGTGGAGGGGCGCTCATGCTCCGGGATGCCCTTTCAAGTAACGAGTAACCCTTGCACTCCGTGAGCCCTTCCATCTTTCACTTCGCTGTCGCTTACTAGCCCTTGTCATCAGATCAATCACCAACATTGTTTTACAATCATCGCTGTATTTGCTTTCTGTGATCGCTACCGCATTTCGTTCTACTGCACACGGCTTAGCACACCTTGTTTTATTTATCCCCTCCCCCCCTCTGACATCATTTACTCCATAACTTAGAATTATAGCATGTCAATCTCGTTTCGTCGTTGCCAAGTGCAATTGAATTCGGAGAGCGCGAGATTG